TAGACATCATCCTAGGAGACATTAAGTGAAGACTTCTGTGTGTATAAACAGATTTGAAATTAAAAATATAACAGATCTTCTGAAGTTGCAGCAGTACTCACAAGTATTATAAAATAGAAATCATTTCAAAAAGATTTCATGTCATTTTTGCCCAAAAGCTTTGTTTTGGTTTGTTTGTTTTTTGAGATAGTGTCTCACTCTGTCGCCAGTCTGGAGTACAGTGGCCCGATCTCAGCTCACTGCAACTTCTGACTCCCTGGTTTAAGCAATTCTCCTGCCTCAGTCTCCCTAGTATCTGGGATTACAGGCATGAACCACCATGCCCAGCTAATTTTTGTATTTTTAGTAGAGACGGGGTTTCACCATGTTGACCAGGATGGTCTCTATCTTCTGACCTCATGATCTGCCTGCCTCGGCCTCCAAAAGTGTTGGGATTACAGGTGTGAGCCACCATGCCCAGCCCCAGAATCTTTCTTTTAATCTGTAAAAGACAAAACTGTTAAATACACATTTTTGTCAATTTAAATCTACATATTCACCCAATTTTTATAAAATTATTTTTATAATTACTTTAAAAAGAAAAAAGAATTGAGAGCCTAGAAACAGAGCTAAGGAAATATGCAACTTTAGTGTATGACAGAGGTGGCATGACATATCACGAGGAAAGGAGGAAATGTTTGAGAAATGAAACTTGGAAAAAAAAACAGTTATTTAATTAAGTTGGATTCCCTACCTCACATCATATACAAATATCAGCTGAAAATGGATTAAAGGCTTTAATGTGAATCAACACTTTAAAAACTTTTGGTAGATTCTGTTGGTAAACATTTTAATCCTTGGGGTATAAAAAGATACAAAGTGTTTTCTATAAAACCTTTGATAAATTTGATTATATTCATTTCAACTTATTACATTTTTCAGTTCTAGAATTTGATTCCTTTTTTTCAGTTTCAAGTTCTCTAGTAAACTCTCAATCTTAATTCTTTGAATATATTGAGTATAGTTTCTTTAAATAATATCTGAAAACTTCGTTATTTGGATCCTTTGTGGAATGTTTTTATTGCCTGTTGCTTTCTTTTTTAAAAAATGATCATTTTAATTTGCCTCCTCATATGTCTGGTTATTTAAGAGAGAATACCAGTCATTTTCTGTGAAAATGCGTAAAGATTTTAGACCTACGATATTATCTACCTGCAGAACATTTTCTTCTGGCTAGTGGCTGGGTATACTAGCAATTCCAGATCACCTAAAATCAATGAATGATTTAGGTTATTTGCAGCTGAGTTTTCATCCCTGAGATCTGATTTGTTGCCAGTTACCTTTACTCTTAGGGTACCTCAAATCCCCAAAAGTCGTGGGTATTTACCATATTCTATATCCTTGGCAGACTCTCAAGTCCTTTATTTTTTTCCCTATATTTTACTGAATGTTCATCTCAATCTTCTTAACCATCTCTCAGAAAATTTTCAGGCTATATTCAGATAAAAGTGGCCTCTCATTCTGAACTCTGGATTTTCTTCTCTCATATTTTGGTCCCATGATTTTTCATGACCTTGTTGGCTCTCTAACATCATTAGAGAAATTTTGTTTCATATTTTGTTCACTTTATTAGTTATCATGGTCGAATTGGTCTCAGTTCATGGATTATCATCTGCTATTACCAAAAGTAGAACTTTTTTTTTTTTTTTGAGACGGAGTTTCGCTCTCGTTACCCAGGCTGGAGTGCAATGGCGCGATCTCGGCTCACCGCAACCTCCGCCTCCTGGGTTCAGGCAATTCTCCTGCCTCAGCCTCCTGAGCAGCTGGGACTACAGGCACGTGCCACTATGCCCAGCTGATTTTTTGTATTTTTAGTAGAGACGGGGTTTCACCATGTTGACCAGGATGGTCTTGATCTCTTAACCTCGTGATCCACCCGCCTCGGCCTCCCAAAGTGCTGGGATTACAGGTGTGAGCCACCGCGCCCGGCCCCAAGTAGAACTTCTTTTTGTTAACTTTTACTTTATGCTTTCTTCAGTAACTTGTAAAAATATCTAAATACTTGGTTGTTCAATAGGCCTTTAATTAATTCTTTGTCATTTAAGTTAATTGAGGAAATGTATAATAAGTATCAAATGTATGTAAACCACTATGTTCCATGCCTAGTGGAGATGCGTCAGACACCCCTTCTGACTTCATTTGAAACTTTGTCTAATAGGATAGAAGAGGCATACATAAATTATTATGTAAGATTTTAAAACTTTTAAATGCATAATAAAGGTGTAGGTCAAGTCTTACACTGATCTAGAGAGGAGAAATATTACTTCCATTGCAGAGGATGAAGTTAGGCTTTGTTAGAAATAAACTTTGAGCTGGGTTTTCAGCCTTACACTAAATCTTGCATTGGGTAAAAACAGGTATCTGTCATGATTCTTGCCTGTCAGTGGTTTCTAACCACATTGTACAGAGAGAAAGTAATTCTGATGCTTTGGTAATTGTATTTCCACACATTGAGAAGATTCAAAGCAAAATCTCATTAACACTGATTTTTTTTTGAGAAGTAGGTAGAATTTCTTCTCTGTAATGAAACATTGTGTGACTAAATATTTTTAAACTTTGGCTTATTGACCAGTTAATTTATTTTTCTTTTATGTACCATTTAAAAATATTTAAAATCAACTTTTATTAAGATACAGTAAAATCTACCCAAATATATCCTGCCACATAACAATCAAGCTATGGAACATTTCCATTACCCACTAAAATTACCTTGGTCCCCTTCTTGCTCAGTTCCGTACCCTGCCTCTACCTCAGTCAATTACTAATCTGCCTTCTGTCACTGGAGATTAATCTTTTGTAAAATTACATATAAATGGAACCATACAGTATACTTTTGTATCTAGTTTCTTTTGCTCAGCATGGTTTTAAGATACATTCATTTGGGGGTATATATCCATAGTTTGTTCTCTTTTATTGCTGAGTTTATTCCATTGTAGGACCCTACCACAGTTTGTTTATCCATTCACAGAGTTCACATAGGTTTGTTTTTAAACTTATCAGAAACATCTAGCTGCCAATTTATCTTTTTTTGCATATTGATTACTCATCTTTGCAATTGAGAGACACTGATATCTTGAACTCTACATTTATAATGCTGTAAAAATGGATTTGGAAGAGGTGGCTCTCATACTGCCTACACAATAGGCAATAAAGTATGCTGCTGTAATACAGATGTTGGTATCAACATTTTGACCTTTTAATTGTACAGATGTGTTTTAATACACTCTTTCAAAGGTTAGACATAAGAATACTAATACTGGGATAATTCTAAATGTTGTGATAGCTGTGGAGACTGTCAGTGTCATTAAATAAAAACAGTACAAAATACATTATCATTTTTATTAGCTTTTGCATATAAAATAAGGAACTTGGGCTTAACTATGTTTCTAAATTTAGTGTTTCAAAATTTAATACTTTGCAAGGTAAAATTGTTATATAAATAATGTGCATGTCATGCTTTTTAAAAATATGATGTTATTGCTATAGCTTATGGTATTTGAAAAGGCAATCTTTTGGAACTGGATTTCTGGTTCAATTATTAATTTAACAAACTATTATACTATATTCTATCATGAGCTTTTCTAGTTCTATAGAATTGCAAAATTTTTAATTAAAAAAAAATTTAAGCAAAGCTAATTTGCACATAAAATTTCTTATGGAAACTAGCTATCTTACATTTTTTTTGTTTCTTGGTATTTCATACTTAAAATGTTGATCCACGTTTTAGTAGATATTCTTACGTATGTCATTTTTATGTATAACATATGTACAATTTTCTAATAGAGTTCAATCTTTAAAAGCATAGGCTCTAAATTCAATGACTTGAGTTCACATTTCCACCCTACCACTGTTAAACTGTGGCAAGTAATTCATTTCTTTAAAGTAAATTCTAGGCCAGGTGCAGTGGCTCACGCCCATAATCTCAAGACTTTGGGAGGCCACAGTAGGTGGATCACTTGAGCCTGGGATTTGAGACTATCCTGGCCAACATAGTGAAACCCCATCTCTACAAAAAAGTAGAAAAATTAACTGGGCATGGTGGTGTGTGCCTGTAGTCCCAGCTACTCAAGAGGCTGAGGTGGGAAGATCACTTGAGCCTGGAAGGCAGAGGTTGCGGTAAGCCAAAATCATATCACTGCACTCCATCCTGGGCAACAGTGAGACCCCTATCTCAAAAAAGTTAATTAAATTCAGTTCCTCATTAGTAAAATGGGAATGAAAGTAATTCTTGTACAGATTTAGGAGATAATTTACAGAGTCCTTAACACAACAACTGGACCAAATACATACTTGTTGAATGAATAAGTAAATGCCATTCTTTGTTGTGTATAAACCTGCAACTATTTTTTGAAACTTTGATTTGTTATTAATGTCAACTTGGGAGTCTGCTTTAAATCCCAGGTGAGGGGATAGTTACTTTCTGAACATGGCTGTATTTTTCAAATACTGTTAGTGACTACTTGATAAGAATGGTAAAAGGCAATCTTGAGATTGTATACTATTCTGTTTTTATTGGTACAGATTTGGATGCTATTCAAGGTTATTGGCTATAATGGGCAGGGAGGAGGACCTAGCAGGACTTGAGGTCTGTGTGACTATTTTACTTTTTGTTTGTTTGTTTTTGAGACAGAGTCTCACTTTGTCGCCAGGCGCCAGGCCGAAGTGCAGTGGCACAATCACGGGTCACTGCAACCTCCACCTCCCAGGTTCAAGCAATTCTCCTGCCTCAGCCTCCCGAGTAGCTGGGACTACAGGTGCATGCCACCACACCCAGCTAATTTTTGTATTTTTAATACAGACAGGGTTTCATCATGTTGACCAGGATGGTCTCGACCTCTTGACCTCGTGATCTGCCCGCCTCGGCCTCCCAAAGTACTGGGATTACAGGCTTGAGCCACTGCGTCCAGCCAACTATTTTACATTCTTAAAAAAAATTCTTTTTTTTTTTTTTTGCTATTCAGTGCCTGAAAAACAGCTGATTGATATTGAAGATTGTGACCTCAATGTGGTGAGACTGTGTTTTCAAGTTTTCCTTCCTGATGAACATGGTAATTTGACAACTGCTCTTCCTCCTGTTGTCTCGAACCCAATTTATGACAACCGTAAGTACTTCATTTTCTTGTATTTGTAGTTTTAACTTGTTTTTTGTAATAGTTTAATTCTTAAAAGTATTTTGGTAATTAGAAAAACAATATATTTATGATAGGAAAACTTCCAGACGTTACAGAAATATTATAACAGAGAGTAAATCTCTAATCTCATCCTCCAGAGATAATCACTATCCTTAGGTGCATATTTTACCAGTTTCTTGTTCCTATGTATACACAAATACACTGTCATCATCATTTTTGACATAGTACAATTTTGGCAACCTAAAAAAAATCATAAGTGGTGATTGTTTTAAAAATTAACTTTCTTCTTACCATGTATCTTGAACATTTTCCTTTCAGGTACCTTATCCGTTTCAGTAGCAGCATATTTCATTATATAGTTATATCATAATTTTATTAATTACCCTCTTACAAGACATTCATTTTGTTTCTTTTCTCATTTTTTATTTTTGCCCTAACTGTACTACAATACATATTCTTGTATATGGTTTTTTTTTAGGGGCTTGTTTTGTTTTGTTTTGTTTTTGAGGTGTAGGGTTTTGCTTTGTCACTCAGGCTGGAGTGCAGTGTACAATCATGGCTCACTGCATGGCAAATGCTGGCTCAAAGGATATGGATATATCTAATTTTAGAAGATTATGAAACTTCCCCCCAAAATGCTCTCTGTGTGTGTGTGTGTGTGTGTGTGTGTGTGTGTGTGTGTGTGTGTACACAGGCATCTATATATACATCCACCAATGGTGTATGGCTATACCTGTTTTACATGTAGGGTAGTGAGACATAGGTCTATAAAGGTAGATCAGAGTATCCTTAACATGGAGAGCTTTAAATGCCAGGGATAATTATTATAATCTTATGGCCAGATAGTAGGAAGCATGAAAGTTGTATTGCCATAAGGAGATGTATTGCCATAGGGAAAATTGTATTGCTGTAGGGATATGGCCATGATTTATGAAGATTAATCTGGTGACAATTGTGTAGGATTGATCGGCAGAATCAGAATTTAGAAGCAGGGAGCTTTAATTAGAGAATATGTCATTACCTAGAAATGAAGTCATAAGTCTAAAGTAAAGCAGTTAGAAAGGAAGTGGACAAATATGGATGATTAGTGTATTTAGCGTCCTTTATTTATACACTAAAACTTTTATTCTATGAATGGTTTTCCTCAAATTCTTCCCTTCAAAAAGGAATAAAATATTATATAGCAACTCATTTTTTTTGAAAATCCTTTATATTTAGGTGCTCCAAATACTGCAGAATTAAGGATTTGTCGTGTAAACAAGAATTGTGGAAGTGTCAGAGGAGGAGATGAAATATTTCTACTTTGTGACAAAGTTCAGAAAGGTATTTATTTATTTCATTCAATTTGGAATAAAATTTAGATTAATAGATGCAGTTACTTTGTTTTCCCATTATTATTTATTTTGTTTCTTATTTACTAGATGACATAGAAGTTCGTTTTGTGTTGAACGATTGGGAAGCAAAAGGCATCTTTTCACAAGCTGATGTACACCGTCAAGTAGCCATTGTTTTTAAAACTCCACCGTATTGCAAAACTATCATAGAACCTGTAACAGTAAAAATGCAGTTGCGGAGACCTTCTGACCAGGAAGTTAGTGAATCTATGGATTTTAGATATCTGCCAGATGAAAAGGGTATGACATTATGCTGGTAATAATTTATATATTTCTCAAAGTGGTCCTACTAATAACATCTTCTTGTAAGATTCATTTAAATACAGCTATGTATATTCATAATTTGTGTTTCTTTTCCTGGAAGCCTTCCATTGGTTTTTTTTCTTCATGCTCTTTGCATCTCATTTGTTGGTTTTTTTTTTTTTTTTTTTTTTTTTTTTTTTTTT